ACAAGACCATCCGCCCACCTCGCCTCCATCATCGTCGCAAAATCCAACCCGCTGCTCACTGGCCTATTTACCCACGGCTATACCACAGACCCCTTTTTCACCCGCAACCACCACCAACAAGCCACCACAGCCAAAGGACCCTACTTCATAAAAGTCGGTACTGACCGTATTTGGGTTCCCGCCTACAGACTCCTCCGCGAATTACTTATTCAAGAAGTCCACGATCCTAACCTCTCGAGTCATTTTGGGGTTGATAAAACCCAGAAGTTACTTCACCGTTTTTATTATTGGCCTGATTCGGCATCTGATGTGCAGAGATACGTATCCGCGTGCCCGATCTGCCAACAAATGAAGTCTTCCCGATGGCGGCCAGCTGGACTGCTGCAACCGCTCGAGCCACCCCAGCGACGGTGGCAACATGTGACGATGGACTTCGTCACGGGGCTCCCGGCCGCCGCCACGGGCAACGACGCCGTCCTAGTCGTCGTCGATCGTCTGACGAAGATGGCACACTTCGCACCCTATCGCACAACAATCACAGCTGAAGATACAGCGAAGCTTTTCATCTCCACCGTTGTTCGTCTGCAAGGCCTACCCTCAGCGATCATCAGCGACCGCGACCCAAAATTCACGTCCAAGTTCTGGCAGGAGACATGGGGGCAGTACGGCACACGCCTCCAGTTTTCCTCTGCCTACCATCCTCAAACCGACGGACAGACAGAGCGAACCAATCAAACTATGGAGCAGCTGATACGCACCAACTGTTCGGATCCTGCCCGGTGGGAAGAATTCCTGCCCAAGCTGGAATTTTCGTACAACAATGCCCCATCCGCCACGACTAATCAGTCGTCGTTTTTTCTAAACTACGGCATGGATCCGACAGTCTCGACGACTACCAACATCGACAACCCAGTGCCACGTTCCCAGCAGTTCGTGAACAGTTTGCAGGAGGCCCGCGAAAAAGGGATCGAATTCATTTGCAAGTCCAACACAACCGCCCGCCGCTATACAGATCTTCATCGCCACGATATCACCATGGCTGCAGGGCAACTAGTCCTTCTCGACACGAAGAACCTTCGCCTGCCCTTGCCTTCAAAACTTCGCCCGCGATTCTGTGGACCTTTTCGTATTGTCAAGATGGTGACACCTGTCACAGCGAAATTATTACTTCCGGACGAGTGGCGCATTCACGACGCCTTCCACGTCAGCCTGCTTCGTCCCTACGTCGCCAGCACATCTGCAGTCGCACGCCCAGCGGCCGCCCCAAGTGTCCGCCCGATGGCTGAACCGACCCTTGAGCCTTTCCGGTTTCTGAGTCATCGCATCCGCCTCGACTCAACGGGTCGCCACGTGGATTTTCTTGTCCGCTGGGTTGACCGTACAAGCGAAGACGAGACATGGATCACTTCCGCCTCGCTTCAGGAACACTCGGTGCTCAAATCTTATTTGACCCGAAAAGGCGTTCCCGATGTTAATCACCTTCCTTAGGGGGGGGGGTAGTGTAAGGAATTTTATTCCTTACCGGATTGTACTGCAATCGCGTACACCCGAACTCTCGGAAGACCAGGCTCGGTCCGTTTCTGACGCGACCCCGAGGCACGCCCGTGCCGCCTCCGACCCTTTCGACCGCGCCTGTACCCAACCTAGCCCTCCGGGTTCATCGCCTAGCTAGAGCACTCGCTATATAACGCTAGGCTATCTTTCTTGTACTCGTCATTATTATTCCGCGGACTCTCAGTTATTATTCATAACACTCGGCCTGGCAACAACGACAATGATTTTTAGATATAACATTTCAAATCCTATGAAATTGAATACAATACTGATGGAGTTGCTCCGTATCACATGAACTGCTACCTTCGCTGTCTCCTACTTTGAGCCGTGTGCCCGGAGCAACCCCAGTGGGTCGGTACTTCTTCTAGCGATTATGCTGGAGGTCTTGCGAACCCATATCTCACAACACCATATTCGTCATTATTATCACAACCTACAATCTTAATGTTGGTGAGGCTCCTCAATCCGGATGCATAAGAAAGATGTTGCTGCGGTCACTTGAAGCAGCTGGTACTTTCATACTCCTTGCTCCAGCCTCTAGAAACAGGATCGCTTGTGCTTGCAGATGCGATATTAGAATGATGTAGCACCTCAACTGGCAATGTGCTCGTCCTGGTCCAGAACGACAGACAGGAGCCCAAGGCGTCGCTAGCGCTGCTAAATGCAGCGGCAGAGGTGACATTACCGGCAGACGCAGGAGCAACAGTGACAGCAGAAGTAAGAGGAGGAGCAGAAGAGCGAGCAGCAGCAGCAGCAGCAGAAGCATAAGCAGTACGTCCCTTGTGAAGAAAAATTGGGGCATTGGGAAGGAACGGTTTCTTGCCCGCATCAAGCTATCCATAAGCTAGTCTCCAGTGGGAGTGTATGCTGATGTGTCACTTGGTGATGCCTCCAAGTGTCCCATACCTTGGAAGAGTTACGTCCAGTCACGGAAACCGAGTGCCGCATCACCAGTTCAGAGAAAGGTCGTGCTTGAACCCTTAATGGCGGAATTGATGTTCTGGTGGTAGCACGTTCCAAACCCTTAAAAGCGTTACTTTGCATGGGCACAGGGCGCTTTATCAGTTCGGCGGAAGCCTGCGCTTGCGCCCTCAAAGGCGATCTCGATGGCCCGACTGGAGCAGCACGTTCCAAGCCCTCGGGATGAGCTGGTGTGTTTGGAATCGACAGGAAGTATAGTTCAGTAAACCGTGCTTGCACTGGTCTTGAAGGCCTTGAAGGGCCAGTAGTAGCGGGTTCCAAACTCTTGAGCTGCGCTACTGCTGCTGCTGAAGGGAAGGAACCTGGCCAGGATACAGACTCCATAGATGCACCCGTCATGGTTGTAGCGGGCTCCATTTCCTTGGAGTGCACTACTGCTGCTGCTGCAGGGAAGCAATCAGACCAGGATGCATGCGCCTCAGATGTACCTGTCACGATGGTGGGTTTTCCTGGTTCCGAAGCCTTTGGCTGCCGCGCTGCTGCTGCTGGAAAGGATTCAGACCAGGATGCATGCGCCTCACAACGGTGGTGGGTTTCCTTGGTTCCAAAACCTTTGGCTGCCGCGCTGCCGCTACTAGAAAGGATTCACACCAAGATGCATGCGCCTCAAATGTACCTGTCACGGTGGTGGGTTTCCCTGGTTCCGAAGCCTTTGGCTGCCGCACTGCCGCTGCTGGAAAGGATCCAGACTAGGATGCATGTGCCTCATTTGTACCTGTCCCAGTGGTGGTTTCCGCAGGTTCCAAGGCCTTGGGCTGCCCCAACGCTGCAGGGAAGGAATCAGACCAGGATGCCCTAGGCTCCACAGAAGCTCCCTTTATAGCAACGTTGCTACAAAGGGAGGAGGTGCGACTCGGCAGCAATGGCGGCGCCGCCGGCGCCGGCTGCTGCGTTTGGTCCTGTTGCTCATGATGCTCATGCTGTTGCTCGTGGTAAAGATGCTCGTGTTGGCTTTGCTCGCGCGGTGCCTCCACTGACTCAAGGTAACGATCCAGGTTGTCCTCCCACGTTGGCGTTGCGGACCTGGGTCGATCCGCCATTGCGTAGTAGTAGTAGAGTTAGGGGCCGTCCGGGGAAAAGACGGGCGGTCGTCCTGAGACGACCCAGACTTCAAGTTGAGATTAAGAGATTCCGGAGCCTACTGGACATCCTGGAAGTCTGAGATCTGAAAATGTTGGGACAACGAGCTTTGAGAATAGAAAGAGGTGGTCTGTAACGCACCCCATTACCCTAGTCTTAGACTTGCCTAGCGCGTCCAACGCAAGATCGCGATCGGGGGAGTTCCGACTAAGGAATGCTGGAGGGGAATTGGGTTGGTGGTTAACCACCCAACCCCAAAGCAATTGTTTTCCCCAACCTTCTTGTTGGAGGTTGGGAAATCCCAAGCCTCCATATGTGCAACCCAATGGTTGGGTTTTTCCAACCAACCACATGTTGCCAATTGGGTTACTAAAAACCCAACAACAACCAGTCTAAATTGCACAACTCTCCTACAGTTGGATAGCAAATCCAATCAAACTGCCACCTAAGCACATCACACCTTAGGAGCTCCTCCCCTTGGTAGCCGTGGAGGAGGAGGAGCTCCCCAAGGAGTTATTGGAGGGGGTTTGAGCTCCAAAGCTCATTCTTCTTTTTCCAACTCCACTAAACCAAGGTTGGAAATGGGATTTTCTCGAAGTTAGATTTCTTTCCTCACAAGCCTTAGAGGAGTTACTCTCTCACCACCACCTATCACTACTCTCAAGCTTCAACCTTGGAGATATCTCCAAGGCTTTCTTCCCCCACTCTCAAGCAAGTTCAAGACAACCAAGGCTACAAGCCTAAAAGTGATGTCCCAAATCTAATCCAAAACTATCCCAAAGGTGACCTGAAGGTCTGAGGGTTGGCAAGGATCACAACTGAGTCACACGAAGGCCACTTGCATGCATTTTTTGGCCCGATTGTGACCCGATTGTGTCCCAAATGACACTTTTGGGATCCTTGCCAACCCCTAGACCTTCAGGTCACCTCTGGGCCAAACCCTTTTTGGTGATGTTCATTATGAGGTGCATCTAGTTACTATTCTGCATTTCTAGCTTGTAACACCTCCATTATAAACCTTGTGCTTTACATGGTCCCCTGCCAGCCTGGGAACGGCCAAGTACTAGTACTCACTGGCACTACTACAAGTAGTTTGAGCGAGCGACCTTGCTTTTCAGAATACGGTAGGTGCCCCCAACCCTTGCGTGTGCAGCCCGAAATGAACGGCATTGAGTGGAGCTGAGGAATGGAGAAGCAGGTGGCTCTGGTGTGCGTTGGGGAGACTCCGAGATCAGACGCGAGAAATTTGAAGCGCGGAAGAAGGGGTTCAGCGAGGAAACCGATTGGCTCTGTGAAAAGGACATCGGATCGTAAGCAGCAGCCGCCCGAAAACAAGGGGGGCACGTGTGGATTGGATCGTGGCCGCCGCGCGTTTCATCGCACACTTCAATGGCGGCCAGAGGTGCCATGGCGAGCCGCTAGCGTCGGATCTGTCCTAGAAAACGGGCCTTGTTACTAGAGAGAGAGAGAGAGAGAGAGAGAGAGAGAGAGAGAGAGAGAGAGAGAGAGAGAGAGAGAGAGAGAGAGAGAGAGAGAGAGAGAGAGACATAGAGAGAGAGAGAAAGAGAGAGAGAGAGAGAGAGAGAGACATAGAGAGAGAGAGAAAGAGAGAGAGAGAGAGAGAGAGAGAGAGAGAGAGAGAGAGAGAGAGAGAGAGAGAGAGAGAGAGAGAGAGAGAGAGAGAAACCGTGTTCGACGGAAGCCCAGTTTGCAGGACAGATGCGACTCAACAGGAGCTGGTGTCACATGCATGTGACCCTAGTAGTGCCCATAGGGTCAGCAGCAGTTGCGGATTTGCATCCCGTAAAAGACGGATGCGCTTCTGGCCGTGGCGAGGCGAATGCAGCGAAGCTGCTTGATGAAGTACGGAAATGGGTAGCAGAGACCAACTCGAAGTGCAGTGTGACACAGATGGACGGTTCAACCACGTAATAGGGCGGCCAATACAGTACTGTAGTGCTCGTCCAGCGAAGCGTATCAAATGGCAGCGCGTAAGCGAATCAAAGCTCAAGGCTTCGGCTAAACTAAGCGGAACTACAAATCGAAGGCCAATCATCGAAGCTTTGCATTGCAAGTAAAATGCCTTCTAGACTCACCTGGACTTGCTGTGGGGACTCATGTTAGAACGTGTCCAAAGTGTAATTTGTCACCAGTTCTGTCATCCAACGGATGATCCGCGGATGACAGCAACTACGGAATTGCACTTTGGACGCCAACAATCAAAGCACCCAACGTAACAGTGTCACATGTGCCATTTGCGGGCGGCTATGGCCAGACATTTCGAAATTCAAACTTGTGATTCAAATGTTACGCTTTCTCCCGCCAGACCTCGTCATCTTCGTCAATCCTGAAACAGGCAGCTGAATCAGGCATTGGCGAGCTGCATGTTTTTGCATGCATGTGCGAGTTTCGAGGATTGCTCGTAGCTGTACTTCGCAACTCGTCATTTCGTGCTTGTGGCGCCAAAATTGTATATAGTTTTTGGCGTGCATTGTCCCGTTATCGTGCCCGACCAGACTGTTCCGGTATCTTGGACTGTAGTCTGTCATCCGTTGTATCATCGGGCTGCATCCATTCAGCCAGGGTCCCTGCACTGCACTTTGGACGCGCCAGAATGGTTTGGCACCCTCTGTCATCCGTTATGTCATCCGCAAAAATTACACTTTGGACACGCTCTTAGGGCACGTGACATTTTGAACGTATCAGGATTGAGGTACGTAATTTTAGATGGTTACCGCATTGGCAAAGCTTGCGAAGGCTTTCGTAAATACCCTCGTGATGTTGCGTCACACCCAGGTTCGTCCCGCTTAAAAGATGGGGTTCGTTCGAGCGCGCTCGAAACTGCCAAACAAACGTCCGAACTTGACGTCAAGCTTGACGGCACACGTGCCATTCATTGCCCGCGATCAGAATTTCGTGAAAGATCGGAAACGGTTGGTAATTGATAACGACTCGTAAAGATAGGTTTCATCAGACCCGCCGCGTCATTTCGCGATCATCGCACGCCCAAAACGAACAGCGGCGATGCTACATGACCGACTATGGGCTGTCTACGTACCGCGCGGACGTACCGCGTTGTGCCCTTGACAGGTTGCCGAATGCAGCTTGCAAAATTTGCAACTGTGTAGCTTGTTTTTCGAGCCTCGAATGTTGACGAGTCCAAACCCATTGTAGGTTCACTCGGTACGGACTTTGCATTTCCTCTATGTCACGCGCCCTTAGGGTGGTTTGGAAAGCTGACGGGCGGGAGGAGCAATAGGTGGTGGAGGGCGGAAATAAGGGGTTGGGGGGAGGGGCGGGGTGGGGAAACGGGAGGTGTGGGAGTTGGGTAAGGGAAGAGTGTAACGGGAGGTGAGGATTGGAGGAAGAGGGACGTGAGTTTGGAGATGCGGTATGGGATGGAAACGGACTCTTGCTATGATGCCAGCTACACTGATCTGTGTTCAGATAATTTCTCTGTCTACAGGTGCTTTTATTGATCCAACCTTGATTGCACCTTGCTCACTTAACACCTAAGAAAATATGTGTTGCTTCTTCGAGCTCAACATACCTATCTGAAGTGGGGATATATATTTGCACCCTACATTTAGCTCATCGATGTGCACCGAAGCAATGTGTAACATCCCATGTCATGTTTGTTGCCTGACACTGCCATGCGCAATAGTAGCCTGAGTTGAGGACAATCCCCTGATATGCTTATTTCATCCCCTGTTTCACCTAATCTGGCGCCTTTTCTGTGTTCCCCTTTGAGCCTTGTGCCTGGCTGTGCCCTCGCGGCTTGGTCCCACTATCAACGTGGCTGCAGCTGTGCCGGTGTCTCCACATATGAGGCCTCCATATCGCCGGTTCTTGCTATCATTATAACCACTGACTTGAATGCTGCTCACGCTGCTCACACTTGCTGTGTCAGGAAGATGTGCCCGTTGCCGCTTGGAAGGATTGGTTGCTCCACACTCATCCTTCCTGTATCCAGCACCTGAATTGCTCACAGTTACTACTGCAATAGCACTTGGGCGCAGAAGAACCGAACATGGCCTGCTGCTCCGGGCCCAGAGCGAAACGCAAGAGACCGAGGAACCAGCAGAAGATTCAAAAGTAGAGGCCGAAGCAGCCCAGAATTCACCAGTAGCAGTGTTTCTTGGGCGCGGCAGAACCAAAGCTGGTGTGGTGGTCCGGGCCTTGGGCCCAGGGAATCCGCTGCTCCTTGCCCCCGTGAAGCTATCCACCAGCCAGTCCCCGTTCGCTCACATGCAGATGGCTCTACGCGTCCCAGACCCCACATGCTGCCCCCACTGGGCTCACATGCCGCCACGTCTCCCAATGCCATTCGTGGCATGCTGCCCATGGCATCATGATCCCTCAAAGGAGCTGGACGCGTGACTACTGGAAGCATATCAGTGGACAGCGGCCCTGTGTGGAGGCGACTCACACAGCCCCTGACTGTAGCATACTGACAGCCCCTCTGCTACTGACAACCCCTCTGCTACTGACAGCCCCTCTGCTACTGACAACCCCTCTGCTACTGACAGCCCCTCTGCTACTGACAGCCCCTCTGCTACTGACAGTCCCTCTGCTTCTGACAGTCCCTCTGCTACTGACAACCCCTCTGCTACTGACAGCCCCTCTGCTACTGACAACCCCTCTGCTACTGACAGCCCCTCTGCTACTGACAGCCCCTCTGCTACTGACAGCCCCTCTGCTACTGACAGCCCCACTGTTGATGACAGCCCCTCTGCTGATGATAGCACCTATGTTGATGATAGGCCCTCTGCTAGTTACAGCCCCTCTACTTCTGACAGCCCCTCTGCTGATGATCGCCCCACTGCTGATGATAGCCCCTCTGCTGCGAACAGCCCCTCTGCTGCGGCATGATTTGAATTGGTACGCGCAGTTGCCGAATGCGGTGTTTCCGCGGAAGCAGCCCATTCCGAATAGCCCCCTGTGACAGATGCGCCAGCTCCAGAAATGACATGTCAGAAGTGGCAATGCCGCTGTTGGCAGGGGGCCAAGGCAGCGGCAGCATCGGCTGCTGCCCCTGCTGCTCCCACTGATGTTGATGTTGTTGCTGCTGCCGCTGCTCTTGCTGATATGGCTGTTGCTGTGCCTGCCAGTGTTGATAATGCACCTCAATGGCTCAAAGTTACCGATCCAAGTCGTCCTCCCAGGTGCATTGGGGCAGTGCCCTTGTCAATAATCGTATAGATTCTTGTGCATATATCCATGGTAGGTTAGTAGCCTCCTCCGCCATTGCGTAGTCCAGGATGCTTTATGCCTCCTCAATCTAACGTCGCATTAACAACTGTCTGACAGCTAACGCGGGCTGAAAGGACAAACCGTCACGGTGGCGGTTAGTAACTGTCAGAAGTGCACGATCCGATTCAAGCTGTTCTTTTCACCGTCCTGTAATGTACTTGACTATGCTCCTCGCAACCAGTCTCTTCCACGGCTGGCTGCTTCCAATCACCACTGCTGTACGTACCCGATACAGTGCTGTGTTGTATACTGCAGCACTGGAGAGGGGACGAGAGCCGTCTATTTTTTAACGCGACTCGATGGGAAAACCAGTGACGGATTTGAGTGCTGGACCAGTGATCTAGGGGGCCGTTTGCCTGCGACATTTTCAAAGGAGTTTCAGCCAAAATCGGCATGCGGAAGCTCCGTGGAGTCTCATCCGACAGCAGAGCCTCTAGAAGTGAAGGTGTGCAATCTCTGACGTCAGCATGCGACGAGGTCGCCGAGGTCAGGAATATCCAAACCCCAGTCCCCCGAATCGCAAGCCACTTCAAACGCCAAAGTCGAAGCGTGCCAGCTTGTCGTCCAGGGATACCTGACAAATTGCACTCCACTCCCCTCCCTCTTGCCAAAACACAAACGAGTAGTTTAGGCCCTTCAGCCCACTCCCTCGCCACTCTCACATCGTTAAGCTGGGTAGGCCCAAGCAACGGAAAAAAAAAAAAAAAAAAAAAAAAAAAAACCACTAAAACACTTCGCGCACCAACCTCACACACAGCCATCCGCTAAATTTGGTGCGACAGCCAGCAAGCACTTACGTGCACACTAATCTAGCATTGCAGAAGCGTTGGGGATTTTTTTTGACCGACCAAACCTCTGTCTAGCCATTTTTTCCCAAGAAGGTTCGAGGTTTCTCCTTGGAAATAGCGGTCCCTGTGATGAGCTCAACTGTTCACTGTCGGCAAACTTGTTTTATTCGGGCCAACTATATTGATCGTGGAAATAATGAATCTTGACTGTCGAAGTTTGCGGTCCACGCGGGCACGAAAAAAGGTCTGACCTACGTTTGGCTGAGAAACTTCGAATCCCCTAGAAAATTGTTGCACAAGCCTCTTCCCGTTCCACTCCGCAATGTGCGGATGAACAGCCCCTGGGGTAGCGGTGATGAGCAGAGCCACGGTCAGGGCCCAAACGCCCCGTGGCTTGATTGCCGTGGCCGGGCGGGAAGAGGCCCTCGTCTGTTAGCGGGGCAAGCCCCGCCCCAGGCCCTCGCACGCCCGCTGCCCCGTCCTGCCCACAATCATGGCGAGGGGCCTTTGGCCAGCTGCCCCCCGGGACCATTGGGCCCAACCCCTCGGAGATCCGAGGCCACCGGTCCCCACACCGCGTCCACGCCGGACTGCCGCGGGAGAATTGCAGCCGGCGACCGTCAGTTTCGACGGCTGCTTTTTGGCGAACGTCCCTTGCTTTTCGCTTTGGGGGGGGGGGGAGGGGGGGGGGGTGGGGTATAGCTCGAATAAATACAGAGGGCCTACAGTTCTAGGGTGGCCTA